ACCTGAGCCTATTCTCAGCCCATCATCTCACATTGCATTGTGCTATATTTTGAGTATTTTCCATCAAAAGAAAGATATATTTGTTACATTTAAGAAAATACTTCAACTTTCTAGCTCTGTACTCATGTTTAAAATCTTTTTTACACCAACAGATGTGTAAAGCTTAAAAGCTGTAATATGAAAGATGCTTATCACTAAACAGAAAACTTATCTTTAAGAACATAATTATTAGCATTAAGCAACCACTCATATTAATGCATAACCACAGATTGTTTTTCAAAAACCATTGCTATTTCAAGCCGAAATTTCTATTGACAGACAAAATCTCTGACCACATTTTATTAATTTCAAAGAGAGATGTGAGAACACTTAGGCTTACAAAGGTTGAAACGGACCAGTAACTGAGGGAATATCCTAAGCTTTACTTCTTGTAAATAGCCCAGAATGTCACTAAGGAAGTCTGAGACAGAGAGATTATAAGAACTTTTTGTAGAGATGAGAACAGATGAGAACCTGACAACTCTTCAAGTAACTACTGCTTTGTAGACATGCTCCAGTGACAAAAGCCATTTGAGTGAAGCATGGCAAGACAAGGATGACACAGCAACTTTGTGTTTCCTTAAGTTTCCTCATTAACTGGTAAGTATGACCTGGTTATTAAAACTGCACTAGAGCACTGAAATCAGACTGCCTTCACTTCTTACCTGTGTTGAAACCCCTGGAACTGAAAGGACATTAATTTTACAGGTCAGTCTGCCTAGCTGTGCTATCAGAAATATTTTTGATAGAGAATACAAGAATACTCAGGAGGAGATCAACTACACAAAGTAACAACTTAAGTAACAACAACTTAACAATCCAAAGTAAGAACATAACTACTTAAAAAAGAGCTAGACTTGCTATTAGGAAAAGATGAAGGATTAAGGAACTACGGTGAAACTATTATGTCAGTTAATATTTTGTATGACCATATGGGTTGTGCTGAAATCTTTACCTAAATTTAGGAAGAACCCTGTATAATCAAAAAACAAGAATTTGCATTTTGAACACTGGATGTGATTGTTAGCATTTTGAAGGGCTGGAAGAAATGCTTTTACAACATAAACTCCTTATGTAATAACAATATGTATATATTACTCCTTATGTAATAACAAACATAATGGAAGCAAAAGCTGCCTGCTATTCTGCAGAAAATAGCTAGAAGTATAACACTTGCAGTGAGGTGGAAGCTAAAATATAACGGAGCGCTGGTACATACATATGTGTTTACACACCCTCACCAAGGTTTGTAACTCATACAGGTGTAGTCAGAAAGTAGTTATGCAAGTGTTAATGGAATGATGTTACAGTTAAGCCCTATCCAACCAGAAACACATACTAGAGAAGAAAGGCAATTGGAGTTCTAATTCATTTTACTTAACAGTGATGATTTATGACTGAATTTAGGGCAATGTCACATTTCTGAATGTTTGTTCTATTACAGGGATCAAAAAAACCCACAAGCTATTTTACTAGGACTTAAAGACATGAACTGACAGTTCTCTTACAGTGAATTCTCCAGACAGAAAAATGGGAATAGTTTCACCTCATCCTGCAGAGAATGAAACCAATTTTTCTTATGATAACCAGGATTACTAATGGGAGAGACACCATCTTGAATCCAAATACATGAATTAAGACATTCAGCTTCCTTCAGTCCAAGATGGCTAAATCACTGGTTCTGTTTGGCATTAGAAGAGCATCTTTTCACAAATTCTTTGTCTCCAAGACAGTTCTGTGGCTCCAAAAGACAGCAGAGACCATTTTTTGTCAAATCACATGCAAGACTGTTTCAGAAGAAGGAGTGCAAAGGGACATGAAAAGGGAGCCTGTAGAATGATGATCTAAAGAGTCTCAAATATTCCTGCATCAAACTCTAGCCCTCAGGATGTGTGTCTGCTGCGGTCTGATGAGTAAGGTGATCCAAAAGCACTCCCAAGAGATAGAAAAAAATGGCAAAAGTAATCGTAGTGTCTAGAGAGGAAAGTTCTGACTCAGGAAACCTTACTTCATTTTACCTCCATCTGCTTTATTTAACAACATCTGTGGGGAAAGGAGCATCATCTCTTTCCTGTCCTCTTTGCTGGTTGCATGTAAAGGTCTGTAAATCTTAATTTCTCTCTCCAAACAAAATGAAAAATAGGATGCAATTTAGGAATCCAAATCTCCAAGAACTGTAATTCTAAACAACTCATGCTTGTGACTACAAATTAATGGACATTTATAAAGTCGTGTGAATCTGTTTTTGATGAAGTGACAGAGACTGACCAACAAGCTTGAACACAAAAAAATCTATACAGTGGCCCTGGTAAATAAATGGATTCATGATTAACCAACACTGACAAAGCAACTCGGAAATGGGTGTTCTTGGCATGTTCTTTTTCTATCTGAAAGACAACCTTCAATATTGGTTACTGAGGAATTTTTCTTTTACTTTGGGGGGGAAAAAAAAGAACATAAAACAATAGTATCAGTGAGAAATAAGAAGAATACAAAACATTATTTAAACAGCCAAAACTGCATGAAACATGAAGTTGCTTTGAATTTTAGCTTTATATATCTTTCAGAACACATTCATGACAGAAACGTAGATCTTAAAATGTTAATATGGAAAGACTAAAGATAAAATTTTACATACATGAAATGTTAATTTCATAAGCTGACATCAACAGCAAGTAACTGCTCAGAAGACACAGATCACCATTTTAAAGGACAGCTAAGTGAGGCGAATGAAAAGCAGCCACAAGGGCTGTTTCCTGACCACTTTAAGCCCCCCAGCACTACAATGCTACAAGTGCTTACCTGACTACAAGGTAAATCACATCTACGTAGTACATCACACAAGTAAGTGTGTGGCTACATAAAATCTACTGCTAAAACACCATGTACCTACTTTTTCATCAGCACTGTCAACTGAAAATACATCTAAGAAAGGTCCAAGTATCCCATGGTAGAAAAGGAACCTTCAGAATTGCAGCAAGGCATAAAGGAAATGGAGCGCACATGCAGTCAGTGGATACTATACCGAGGCAAAATATCTCTTGCCTTGAACTGCTGCAATACAAATACCCACAATATGAACAGTCAGACAAATATTTAAAAAAGACTTTATATTGTTTTAACATACTAAAATGTATTTTAAAAACGTGGGGAAAAATGTAATTTTTAAGATTAAGTTTTTAATATGATTAAAATGTTCATGCGTCTATCACATCATAAAATCAAAAAGCCTGTATGAACACCAGACAAGTTTGGTACATTACAGCAACTTCTTAAGTCTCTGACATTGTCATGTTTATGAAATACCTATCTTTGAAACAACAACATTCACAGTAAGCTGGTTACTTAGAAACATGAAGTCAACCCTGGTACACCGGATGACTGAAATATTTCATCAGGGTGTAGCGGTATGTAACCAAGTAGATGAATTTGCCCATTTCAAGTCAGCTACAACCTACTGTAGCTAATAATGGTGTCAGCTAAGTAATATTGTGCATTACTACACACATTTCAAGAATGCATTCACGCTAGTTTTTAATAGTTAATGTTTTTACCTAAGGAATTTGTAAACTTAAAATATTAGATGAACTCTTCATTTCTCAATAACTGATGCAGTAACACAGACCACACAGTCCCTGGGGACTCCCATGCAAGTGTACCTGGAGAATATCACCTTATTATTATCTTCCCAAGTGGTTCTCTATTTAATTGCTCCTTTATGATTATGAACAGGGGACAAGATACTATAAATCAAAATGGTTTGCTATGAAAATCACGGCAGGCACTCTAACTGGTACCAAATGACATAGCTTACACAGTCAAAACAACTTTAATTTTTGAGCAGTTACAGTTCTAAACATACTATAAAAAGTAAAATAGCAAATAAAAGCCTGTTCCTTTTAGTTTGAATTTTTAACCTTCTTTGTGTAGTCTTTTTCACAGTTTATGAACTCAAATGTCTTGGTTAGCTAGACAAACTCACCCTCCCCTTTTTTTTTTTTTTATCTTGTCCCATCAGCAGTTTGCTCATTTTCCAATGACTGTGGACACTTCCCCTAGCCCTAAACAAACTCAAAATTTCTTGCAGCTCTGAAGCTATACTTTAAATGACCTTTTATTTTGTTGTTGAATACTTCCTTTAACACTTCTTTGGTAGAACAATGTAACTGAACAGTGTTATAGATTAAGACTGTAGAAGGAAAAATAGACAGTAATGTATTTCCCTCCTGGACCTGAAAATGATTTGGTATTCCATATCCCGAGACATGACATATCCATACCCCACGAATATACAAATTCTCAAACATAACACTAGTAATTAACAGTCTTTGGCCTTATATCCACTGAATTAATGGTAAAATCCTAAGGACTATCACAGTGTACAAAATTTAGTCTTTACTTAGAACTGGCTACCCCAAAATAGATAAGGACTATTTTTCCTAGAACGTACAAATTCTTATAACAGCAATGCCTTATACTGTCTCTGCAGACAGCTACAAATACACTGAGTAAACCCACTAAAAAATAACAAATAACTCTCCAGAGATTTACAACACGTGATGAACTGACTGCAAACCCTATTCCTGGTCCCCCTGCATTGCTGGCTGGGGGATGAGGTTGAGGATTCAGGAGTGAAGTTAAGCCCCAGAAGAAGGAAGGAGAGTGGAGATGTTTTTAAGATTTGAGTTTATATCTCATTATACTACTCTGATTTTATTGGTAAGAAATTAAATTCATTTTTGTCGATTTTTGCCCATGGCAGTAACTAGTGAGGGATCTCTCCCTACCCTTATCTCAGTCCATGAGTCTTTTATTACATTTTCTCTCCCTTGTTCAGCTGAGGAGGGGAGTGACAGAGTGGCTTTGCTGGGTACCTGGTGTCCAGCTAGGGTCAACCCACCTCATACCTGTTGTGAAAGCCATAAGTTTATACAACAGCTGAGTGCTTGTAAGGAAATTACCTTTTGTGCAGCAAGATGGAGAGCAGTTCTTCGGCTACGATCAGCTCTATTAACATCGGCTCCAGCCTTCAGCAATGCCTCTGCACAGTCCAGCCTGTCAGCCAAGACACAGTACATAAGTGGAGTTCTTCCAAATTGGTCCTCTTTATCTTTCAGCTCAGAGTTTCCTAAAAGACAAAACCAGACCAAAAGCTCATTTCAAACAGTTAAGTCTATTAGTATCTAACTAAAAATAGTACTTTTTTATTAAAAAGGTAGCTTATTAAAATATGATTAGGAGGTATCTTATCATAATATGAACAGGGTGAACAAAACAATGGAGTATATGACAAACTCAGAGTTACTGACATTTACAGAACACTTCAAAAATGTATTTACAGAAGAAAGTACATTCAGAAAACATTAGTGCCATAAACACACCTACTACCAGTAACATTCTGCAGTGGCATAATTATAAATAATTTTTAAATAATTACACAGATCTTGGCTGCAAAGACTAATTTAAATAATAACAACAGCACATAAACCAAACAGTCCTTCTGAAACTTGTAAACACTGTAACTAAAAGAAGCTTTGAAGTCTACTCACAGCAATGTTTATTTTAAAAGCACAAATGTCAATATCACATCAATACCATTATTTACTTTAGGGTGCCTTACAATATGGAAACTACGAAAATACTTCACAAGCTTTCTTGAAATGATAAAGTTAGTAGGCAGTAATTAAGCTGAATAAGAAATCTGACATCCTAATAAAAAAAAAAATCAAAACACTATTCTTATTCACAGACACAAAAAAAATTCCCTAAGAGTCACTTTCATTATAAAGTTTCATATTTCTATCAAGTCACCACATAAAGACTAGGATCTTTAACTTCATGTGTATCAACTACCCTATGCATCCTGACCTTCCAGATCTGCCACGTAGCAATGTTGTCTACTATTACTCAAGGAATATTGAATTTTACAGGTAAGTTAGTTTTGCTTTTTAATTATTCCTCTGTCTGCATAACTGTTGATACTTCAAAAGCACTCCAGAAAAGGCATGCTTCTTTACAGACAGTCTTTGCTCTCCCCCAGCATTTTATACTTATCTACATATCCAGTAATTGTACTCTTAATTATCATTTCTATTGATTCACCCAGCAGAGGAATCAAGCAGATTAAAAATTAATCAAGGGGACTATCAAGAATTAAAATTCATTCCTCACCAATCAAGCCTCTAACAAAAAACACTGTTAAGTAGGATACTGCCAGTTACAGCGATCATTTACTTGCTCACTCCATTTCTTAGTTCCTTAAAACTAGAGTGAGTACCATGTCAATCGCATGATTCATTCTATAACACTTTCTCTTGCCTTGAAATTGTGATTTGCATTGAGAAAATTCCTTTTGCTCTGCAAAAAGCAGTTTAAGAACATTTCTGAACTCCTCTGTGACAAAGATATAGAAAAATCTTTTTTGTTCTTTACCCATTGTGTTGTCTTCTGGGACTGTCACTTCACATTGACAATCCACTAGTTTCACCAGTTTTATAACTAATTTTCATACCTCTAGCAAATTACTTTAAAAAAAAAAAGAACAAAGACTTTTACTGACCTGAATCTACCTTCCTCAGACATAGGCTGTTTTTTGATCACCTTTTTGCTTTTTAATATCCACCTTCACACTGTTTAGCCTGCTTACTTCTCTTTGGCTCCCCTAGACTTTTTCTTTTGCTAAGTGCTTTTGCATTCATTTCACACCACAAGCATGGAGTTTACTCTTCACACTCATTTTTAGATTCTTCATAGGAAGTGCTTTCATTTTTGTTAATTCCATGCTCATTAGGAAATAATTCAAAATACAATGTTGAGTTAAACAGGGGGAATCCAAAATTCTTTATTTTCCCTAATTTGTAAAAACATTTGCTAGACTTTCATTTCACAGTATTAAAATTTCATTGCAAATCAGATGCAGTTTCAAGATAATTCTTTCTTCTACTATTAAAAAAAAGTATTTAAAAAGTTGTATGTACCTTTTGTGAAGCTGCCTTACACCTCAGTATTTCAGCTAACAATAAGAGCTTTTTCCATTCAACAGAGCACAGTACAGAAACATCAAAACTGGTTATGACCAACCCTGCAGCCCTGTGCACCAACATACAGATACTGAGGTCCAAAGCATAATTTAACATGTCACTGCTCCCAGCCAACAAGCCAGTTTCTCTAATTAGCTAAGTAAAGTCAGGTTCTCTTCCAGTATTAGTTTGATGTGGTAATTTAGACATCACTAAACCACATTTCACTGCTCACTGTTAACATAACCTCAATAGTGTCTTCAATTTGTTGAACCTGATGGGACTTGCACACTCAAATATATTTTTAAGAGAAATGCACTAACATTTATTTCTCCCAATAAGACACATGCACCTGGTTTATGCTCGGATAACATTGGTTCTTAAATCCTCAATGTGCAAAAACAGTACCTCTCCCTCAAATTCCAGTTCCCTTTCTGTTATATAATGTCAGAGGATATATATAAAAATGTAGAGACTAAAAGAAAGAAATGGATAAGGTCAAGAAAGCAAAAATGGCCTAAAGCTCAACTGCAACCCAACTAAGTAGAGCAACAAACATCTATTTTCATTTACAGCTCCCATAAAGTGATGTAGCTGATGACAAGCAGTTTCCATGACTGTACACAATCTGAGTGAAAAATGAGTAAGACCTTCAAAACTTACTGCCAGCAATTTGCCTGAAGCTCCTGCATTGGTTTTTAAGGAAAAGAAACTATTTCCAGCTAGTAGTAGGTTTTTTCTTGTTTTATTATTCCTTTTGCTTACAATACCCTGTAAGGCCCTTAGAACTATGAAAGTCCTATGGGCATTTCCCTAAAAGGGTGTCTCTGCTCTCAGGCTAAGAGACAAGACAAGGACTAGGAGCCACTATAAGGGGGACTAAGTTTATGAAATACACGAACTACAACAGCTTTTGGACTTGACGTCTTCAGTAAATTATTATTTTCTGCAATCAAGAAAGCCCAGGCAGCCTTCAAAAGTTTAGGTACATATTAGTGCACATAAAATGTGCTTCAGCAAAAATAAATTCTCTTCACATACCTGACTAAGAAAGGAATTTCATTTGATCCCTCCCCTTTCAGAATCAATGTCCTCACCCCACCAGAATATGCATTCCATAAGCTTGTTGCCAACTGAGGTCATGAACATAACGGAATCAAGTGGCCCAATTCCAAAATTTAACTCTCATATTCTTACCTCATCACTTTCTCGCACTCTATGTGAGCAATCATACCAGAGAAAGGGCAGCAGGATGATATGAATTCTGCCTAATTATTAAAAGACAGACCACCTCTTGTTACTTGCAAGAATCTTGCTTTCTGCAATATCTGATTTGAGTTTTATTCAACCTCCCACATCGCAGAACAGGGAAGAGAGAAGCAGAGAGGAGAATCAAACAATAGTATGCAACTGCATATTTGTAACCCATAATTTAGTTAACATTTACAATGAAACACCACATCAGAGATTTAGAAGCATTTGTGTGCAAGCAATGCATGATAAGGGTTTCAGAATGAGGAGTTGGACTGAACAGACACTTCAGTATAATGACTATTATAAACATAATTGTGTTCTTATAAACAATTAAAACAATTAGAGGCATCTTCCCAAAACTCTACATAAAACTGTCAAATGCAAAATGATCCTTCAAACACAAAATTAACTTTTGCTCTCTTTTTGCCTAGGATTAAAATCACCCAGATGGGTTTTAATACTGAAGAACTGTTAATTAAAGACATGTTTGGTGTTGTATAAAACATGGGAAAGAAAATGCTGTGAGCTTTCCCCAAAGCCTAAGAACACACAATTCTAAAACAATGTGATACAGTACGAGATAACTTATGCAATGCAAACAATTAGCACACTTTTGTTAGAATCTTGGTTATACAATTAACACTTGGCATGTACTGTACTTTACAGCATTTAACCCATAGGCTGTTTAGAAAGTCCTGCAATTTAGCACCAGCAGTGGTTAACATACAGAGATACTTTGTTCCAAAGTCCCCTTTCTCAAACTAAATTTTCTGCTTACCTTTGATTCTGTCTGTGCCTCTTTCTGGCACAGGATGTCAAAAGGAACACAGTATCCAGAACACCCTGTAGTATTTCAAGCACCTGTTCTTTTAATATTCATCCATACTCATAATTATATCCAAATAGAACATACATGTTTGTATACAGTCACACAGGCTCCATCAAGCTACAGATGGGAGAAAACCGCGAAACAGGTTAGGGGGGCTGCTCTAAGAGATTGCTTAGCCAGCCTCTACACCTCTCCTATGTTAGTAACTGAATAGGGAAAGCACAAAGAAGAAAGCAATAGCGAATCTAGGGGTTAAAAATGCTCCCTAAAAGAAAAAGAAAGTCAGACTTTATGTTGTTGCATATACCACTAGCTATGTAACCAAGATGCAAAGCTTGGCTCTGTTAGGAAAATGTTGTAAAGGCATCCAGCATATACAGCACACCAAACACTGAAGTACTGTCCTGAATTAGTTGCTGCTGCTGAGTGCAGTCATGAAATTCAGTGAATAGCACCAATTGCTCAATTTGCTTCTGGCATCAAGTTATACTTCCAACAGTGACTGGTAAACAGCTAAAAATATTACTCTGATGCATTCTTCTTCTGCTAGGCAATACTTTTTACTTTTTTTTGGTCCTGTTCTGGCAAAAGTAAGGTCTGTGTCATATCCTGTCAAAACACAGCAAAGCAGAAAAGCCAAATTTTGCTATTTTACCAAAGGCTGGAAGGATTCTGCAGTTTTCTCTCCCATGTAAAAATTAAACAGAGCATTTTTATTTCGTTGCTGCATGATCATCACTAAAAGAATAGTGATTTCCTTATCTGGTTCTAATGGTTGTTTTGTGGTATATTTGACAAAATGTACCAGCAACACAATAAAAGTACTTACTTTTTCCTTTGTGTTTTCAAAAATACATCTTTTGGCTGTGAGATTAATAAAAACATGCCAAAGTTAGCAAAAACTCTGTTGCTTCTGATTGTTAGCCAAAATTTGAAAGTTCAGATTTTTTTCCACCTCCACATGAAGGCAGAAGGTTTTTTTAAAAACCCAGGTATTTAAAGCTACTTCGTAGTTAAATCCCACAGATTTCTAGAAGCATCTCCATATCAGCTGCTCATCTGCTGTTTACAAAATGTTCTATAAAAGAACAAAGAGATAGCAATAATGCAAACAGTATATGTTTGAGCCATTATATGACAAAATAAAGTTGAAGGCCCAACTCCACCAGTGGAGCTTCTATACAGTCAGTTCCCTCAAATTTGTTCATGTTTGAGTCAAATCACTTCTAGTTACCTTATGAAAAAATTAGATAGACCTTGTAAAGGAGAACCACTTACTGCTTTCTATACTGCTTAGATGAAGATCCACACAGCTTACTGTCATGTCTTCAACATAGGTGAGCAGAAGATACATAAAGAAATTTGACTCTGGTTTAATGCAATTACCATTAAATCCTTTACACCCATTAAAACTGACAGCTAATTGCACAAACACAGACTAAGTTTCTTATTATTGCACTGTCCTTTGCCCTTACTAAGCTCAAGGAATAGCATTTTCCAAAAAAGGCTGAGCAAATAAAATTTCCACAGTATCAACTGGAAATGCATTTAATCAGAAACTCTGAAAAAATCAAAGTCTTCATCTATCACAAGGCAGCCTTCCAAATATATTCAACTGGTTTTGGAACACCAAATATATACTGCTTTTGAAAATTACTAACCTGAAATGTCATACCATTCCTAAACAGGAAATGCAAAATGCTGGGCTTTTTAATGGAGAGGAATTTCTTTTTACTTCAGATTCAGTAGGACTAGACTCTACCTTTACTTTGACTTGAGAAATACTGTCAGTCTATCAGAATCAAAGTAACGCATACAGCTGGCTCATTTTGTTCAGAAATACTATGCATTGACAAGACTTCATTAACCATAATAAATTTTCTATAAACACAAGTTAATCTAATTTTCCACAAAAGCAATTCCAAAAATAAGGATTTGCAGCCAAAATATTTTGGCACAAAGCGCTTCTCCAGAATTTCAAATTCCCTGAAAGAGGAGTCCTGAATAACTCTTCTGGTTGTATCACTTACCTACTTTCTATTTTACTTCACACAGAAGTACCAGTCAAAGGAAAGAGGTAATAAAAAGTAAGAAAAATGAGTCATATTTTCAGGACTACATTTATTCTAGAAATACATACAATCAAGAAATTAAAATGTATCTTAATGATCAGAGCCGCAAGTCAAACCCAAAAAGCTTCAGTTTTAAAGTAATCCAAATGCATCTACAATGAAAACAATTACCTGCTATTAGCTTTTGGAGGGTACTCTTATCTCCATTAACAGCAGCAGCATGCACTTCAGATGCTAAGGAGGAACCACTGAAGAGGCAGTTTGCTGAAATATTCATACTCTTTCAAGGTATTACCATAGGTCAGATCTGCACCACCAACATTTTTTGTAGGAATTCAGCTCTAGAAAAAAACCAAAACCGCAACAATAAAACAGAATTAATTTCACAAGGAGTCATTAAAATAATTGTGGATTAAATCTACCTCCAGCCAAAATTCACCCAAAAAAAAAGATACATATATTGTAGTTTCCTTGTCTTAAACATAATTTTCAGCCAATAAGCTTTGCAAAAGTCTGCAAATAGGGTAGTGTTTATCTACAAACCCAACATACCATTCTTCAGTGTTGGCATGCACGCTTCAGTTCAATACCCATTGAAGTCTGCTATCAAGTATCAACTTGTTATACTCCTCCAGTATAGAATCACAGAATATCCTGACTTGGAAGTTGGGATCATCAAAGTCCAGCTCCTAGGACAGCCCCAAGAATCATGTGCCAGAGAGTATTGTCCAAATGCTTCTTACACTCTGTCAACTTTGGTGCTGTGACCACTTCCCTGGGAAGCCTGTTCCAGTGCCCAACCACCCTTTGGGTGAAAAACCTCGTTCTAATATCCAAGCTAAACCTCCCCTAATACAACTTCAGGCCATTCTCTTGGGTCTTGTCACTGGTCACCAGAAAGATCAGCGTCTGCCCTCCCTCTTCCCCTCACAAGGAAGTTGCAGACTGCAATGAGGTCCCCCCTCAGTCTTCTCTTCTCCAGGCTGAACAGATCAAGTGACCTCAACCACTCCTCTCATACGGCTTCCCTTCAAGGCCATTCACCATCTTTGTTGCCCTCCTTTGGACACTAATAGCTTCATGTCTTTCTTATATTGCAGTGCCCAAAACTGCACACAATAATCAAGGTGAGGCCACACCAGTGCAGAGCAGAGCAGGACAATCCCCTCCCTCAACTGACTGGCGATGCTTTGCCTGATGCCCTCAGGACACGGTTGGCCCTCCTGGCTGCCAGGGCACTGCTGACTCATATTCAACCTGGTATCAACCAGGACCCCACAGGTCCCTTTCCATGGCACTGCTTTCCAGCATCTCATTCCCCAATCTGTACATACATCCAGGGTTGCCTTGCCCCAAGTGCAGAGTCTTGCATTTGCCCTTGTTGAACTTTATATGGCTGGTGACTGCCTAGTCCCCTAATTTGTTGAGGTCTCTCTGCAGGACCTCCCTGCCTTCAAGAGAGACAACGGCTCCTCCCAGTTTAGTATTTGTCACCAAACCTTGTTTAGTATTTCTTTGAGTCTTGCATCCAAGTCATTAATGAAGATGTTGAAGAGCACTGGGGTGAGGATGGAGCCCTGTGGAGCCCCACTAGTGACAGGTCACCAGCCTGATGTTACCCCACTAATTATAATCCTTTATGCTGACCTGTGACCCAAGTGCTCACCCACCTCATGATGTGTTTATCCAGCTGTGTGCTGGACATTTTGTCCAGAAGGATCTTGTCAGAGACAGTACTGAAAGCTTTACTGAAATCCAAATTAAGATTACATGAGTTGGCTTCCCTTGGTCAACTAGGTGGGTTACCTTGTCATAAAAGGAAATTAAGTTTGACAAGCAGGACTTTCCTCTTGCAGATCTGTGCTGGCTGTGATCGACAACTGCATTGTCCTTCAGGTGTTTTTCAATAACTGCCAGAATAATTTCTTTATAATTTTACCAGTCACTGATGTGAGACTGTAGGCCTGTAGTTTCCAGGGTCATCCCTCTTGCACTTCTTGAAAGTGGGACAATGTTAGTCAGCACACAGTCAACTGGGACCTCTCCAGATTCCCAAGACCGCTCAAAAATCATTGAGACAGGCCTGATGGTGATATCAGCCAGCTCTTTGAGGATTCTCAAATGAATCCCATCAGATGCCATAAACTTATAGGGATCTACCTGGGGCAGCAGATCCCACACAAGTTCAGGGTCAACTGGGAGCGCATAATTCTCATCATCACGGTCCTCCAGCTCAGGGCACTGGGATCCCTTTAGCCTGTCATCAGTGGTGAACACTGAAGTAAAGCAAGCATTAAACATCTTCGTCTTGTGCATGTCCCTGTTTGTAAGGTGATCATCCTCATCTTGTAACTGGCTGAACTTATTTCTGTGCTTCCTTTTGCTAACCATGTATTTAAAAAAAACCCTTTTTATTGTCCCCCACATCTCTGGCCAGGTCAGCTCCAGTTGAGGTTTGGGCACACAAATTTTCTCCCTGCAGCGGCAAGGGGCATCTCTGAATTTCTCCCGTGTCACCTGACCTTGCTTCCACTGGGCACACACCCTTTTTTTTTGCCTTAGCTCCAAAAGAAGATCCCTGCTCAGCTAAGCCAGCCTGACAGTCTGCTTGACTTACAACACTCTGGAATTGCCTGCTCCTGTGCCCTTAGGAGGTGGTGTTTAAAAAGTGAGCAGAACTGATGGACTCCAGTACCTTCAAAACCATTTTTCCAGGGGACTTTACTAACTAGTTCCTCCATTTTCTTTACATTTTACCTTTCCACAAACAAATCAACTAAAATATGAAACATCCAGAGGCAGCAGTGTAAAATTCAGCAAATACTGAACAACTTAGTAAACCATCAGAAGCATCCTAATTATATCAACAGTAATTTTTACATAAAACTGACTGCATACAGAAGAGAATTGATAATGAAAGATGATCATGATTTCCAGATGAAAGCAGCAGCCCCATCTGCCTAAAGGATCAGTAATCATACACGTGAGAGAAGCAACCCATTATCTCTACAGCAATTCCCAGTACAGTATCATAACTCCATTGAAAGAGCCAATTCTGCACCAGAGAAGTTTTGAAATATTAAGAGGAACTATAAAAGGAAAATATGTAACGTTCCTCAGATATTTCTCTCATGTATATGACAAACAGATGAATTGCTGTGTCGAAGAGTTGTTTGATAAAGACCCTCATTAACTAAAAAAAAGGTATTTATTCAATAAAAATAAAGAAATAAGTACAAGATCTGCTTATAAAAAGTTACTGATATCTACAATATCTGAAATATACTGATATTTACAATATCTGAAATATACATCATATCACCAGAATGAGGTAAATAATTCACTTTTCTTCTTTAGGCTAACATGTAGAAAAATATTAGCCTTGTCAAATCACCTGATATGAAAGGATATTCATAAGGACAGCAAGACTTCCTCAGGTATAGGAAATTTCGTACCAAACTATAGGAAGTCTACTTTGGATTACACAGATGACCAGAATTACATAATTTTTCTATTCAGCAAAACACGAGGTTGCTAAAATTTAAACATGATCACTCTATCAAATTTTACTGATACAGTTTCGAAGTGAAGAAGGAGTTGCGAAAAAATATCAAAGATCTTTCAAATGTGAGTTAATTCAGAAGATAAAACATGCATTCTACAGATGGAAGAGCACAAGTTCTTAAGGTAGTCATAGCAGAACTGATAAAAGCCAAGTTTCAATTTCAGACTATAAAAAACTACACGATTTGTGTGTGTGTGTTTTCAGCTTATGAAACCGACAGGCCACAAGACTTTTGCGGGGTGGCGCATAAAGTCAGAGCCTGTCAGGCTCTGAAACAGAGCCAAGCTTGACCTGGAAAAAGCTGATGTACAGGACTTTCTTTTAAATGGCGTTACGCCCTGTTTCCCTCCTTACACTCGTGTACGTACTGGAAATGTGACAAATGCAAAGCGCAGCTTTCCATGATCTTTTCGAGACAGCTCTGCGAGGTCTCAAAGCACGTATGTATTCTGTAAGGTCCGAAGTTTTACTGGAAGAGGGCGAAGCCCCGAATTTCGGGCGTTCTTCACTTTCAGAATTTACAACTGAGGAAGCGCCAGAATAAATCTGTTGAAGCGTCTAAGGATAAACATCAACAATGACGCTCCACTTCAGCTGAAGTTTCCCAACCCTCCCACCAGCCGCTCTGTCCCCTCACACACAGACTTCCAAACGGAAGAAAGTTGCTTCCCGAACTCCGAGAGCGCGAGGATCACAACGCGCACAGCGCCCAAATACCCCTCCTCGTATTCCCTACAGCTAAACCCGCGTCCCCAGTCCCGGCGGCTGATGGAACAAGGCGGGATCCCGAAGAAACGCTGGGGGCTCGCAGGAACGGGGTAGCGGGGACCCATAAGGAGCCCCAGCGCCCGATCCAGAGCGGAAAAGGATGCGGTACCAGGGGACACCCCCCCCACACACACACACACCCCAAGGCAGGAAGGGTTAACCCTGCCTGCCTTACTTCCCTCCCTCCTTCGCTGCCCCGTCCCATCCCGCGCTGCAGCTGCGCCCCGTAACTCACCTCCACCCCGCCCGCCTCCTCATCGCGCCGCCACCGCCCCCCGCCACCGCCCCTCGGGCAAGCCCCGGTGCGTTCGTGGGACTGCGCCTCCTTCCCGCTCTCCCTCCCCACTCATCTTCCTTCCTTTCCCCTCTCCTCCTCCTCGCCTCCCTTTCCCGGAACTCTACGACCCGGGTGCCCCCGGGAGCGCGCGGCGAGCGCGGGGCCGCCTGCGTGGAACTTGCCACGGGTGTTTCCTGGCGACGGGGGGAAAGTGGAGGGCCGTCCGCCGCACGCGCGGAGAGTGGGAGCCTGCGCTTCTTCCCGCTCCCTGCCGGCCGCCTGATTACCATGAGACCCGCCATCTGTTCCGCTCGCTGCCGACCCTGGCTGCCTCCAGCTCCTCCTGGTAAAAGCCGCCGGCTGCCCCGCTGCCCTTCCCTCCCGCGCCGGCTGGGGTGGCCGGGCGGGCCCACGCTCGGGCTCCCCGTCCCTCGCTTCCGCTCTTTCCCGGCCGGCGGCACCTTGCTGGGCGGGGAGGGGAGGGAGGAAGCGGCGCCGCGGCGGCCCGGCGGTGGTGGCCGAGGCCGATAGGCTGCGCGCCCGGGGTGGGGCCGGGCCCGGGGCAGGGGCCTCGCCTCGGCCCCTCGGGTGCGGGACCCCGGGGGAATGGCCGTGGTAGGGCCGCTTTGCAGCCACCTGGAAGGAGGTTGTGGCCAGGTGGGGGTCGGCCTCTCCTCCCAGGCAACTGGCGACATGACGAGAGGACGTGGTCTTAAGCTGCGCCAGGGGAGGACATTAGGAGGAATTTCTTCACAGAAGGGGTGATTAGACATTAGAATGGGCTGCCTAGGGAGGTGGTGGAGTCACTGTCCCTGGAGTTGTTCAAGGAAGCACTGGATGTGGCACTCAGTGCCGTAGTCTAGTTCACATGGTAGTGTTTGGTCATAGGTTGGACCGATGATCTCAGGAGTCCTTTCCAACCTAATTGACCCTGTGATCTCTAGTTGTTAGACTACAGCATTTTTTGATTTATTTATTTTTTTTTTAGGCTGGCATTACATGCATGACCTAAGCCACCTTCTGGCTTTGCACGTACACAAATGCAATCACTGATGTCTGTGTTCTGTGGAGATAAGTTGGCTGTGTTATACTCGGTCTTTTTTTTTTTTTTTTTTGACAAGTATATGTAGTGATTCTTGCTTTTCCAGACTTGTATTGGGCCAGATTCTGGACCTTTCATAGCATAAGTGACTTGTAGAACTACAGGTGACTTGTGTGAATAAATTTGAATAGGATTTTTCTCTTAAGATACTAATTTGTTTAACCGATCTATTTTAAGCATTTGGGTGAAGAAAACTGGCCAGAAAATTAGGGAATAAATGGAGGTAAAGGTAGATAGAGCTTTGGGGGTCCAAAGAGGAGCACATAGTAATATAACTGCTAATGAATGAATTGCTTAGGAATGTGAGGACAGATACTTAACAAACAGTACAAGTACTCATTATGTGCACTTCTACCTGGATAAGATCTGGTTAGATTATTACAAATTTGCTGTCATTTCAGGCTTGGTAAATATACATGATTGGTAGAGTTTGAAAAAAGCGCATTTGAAATGTTTATATATAGATGCCTATTTATAATGTGTAAGCTCACTGTATGACTATATGGGAGACTAAAGAAAGAACCTAATACTTTTCAGTGACATCTGTGTGTTAAAATATTGTTGCTTGGGTGCTAGATTGATTTGCAATATTATTTTAAATACAGAGACTAATGAGCAAAATCAAAGAGTGTGTACTGTTTAAAAGTGCCATTTAAATGAGCAAGTACAAGTTTGAAAAAGCATTCGTGAGTTAATGAAAGCATTTTTCTTTCTTAGTGGCACAGTTAGTCAATGCTGATTTAATATGCATCATTTAGAGTTACGTTTGCCAACAGAAAAAAATAGGAAATGGCTGTGATCTGAAACTTGTCTGTATTTTATTTGCTGTTTCTTTGAGTATGGGTCATTTAAACTCATTTCTAATGTGATTTAAAAGAACCATATGCACAAAACCCTAAGAATGCACGTCAGCGTTGTTTTTAAAAAAATATAATTTGGTATAATGTTATCTGTGTCCCTATTCAGCATCATGTCAGCCATGGCCCTGTGTTGTAAGATGCCTAGTTACATGAGTCAAGCCAGTGAATCATTCCTTTTAGTAGATTTGTTAAGAGTTTTGTGAAAGTTGTCCTGAGCAGACTGGGAGTGGGAGGGGACCCATTTTCTTTAAGATGGCTGAAAAACGTTGTAGAAGTTGCTGTTTGTTTTCTTTTGGCACTCAGAGACTCTGATAAGGTGTATCAGATTGGCTTTAACGTTCTGGTAACTTTGTTTTTCTTTTTATCAACTGCCATGGATACATAAGTCCAACAATGCAATTGTGATCTTGGCCTTCTGCTCCACGTCAAAAGGATATACCATATAGAAAAACCTCTTTGAGCATGGCATATTTTGTGGATGTGAGTTGTTAGTGTTACATCAGCGGGTCCTAGAACAAAACACACAATGATATGTAGCTCTGAAAACAGCTTACAAAGCTGGTCTTGCTTAGTAATAGCAGTGAAGTCAACAGAAATTCTTTACATTTCCAGACTCTTGGATAAGCATATTTCTTTTCTAGATAGAGATTTAAAATGCTGCAAAAAGAAGAAAAGATACAATGTCAGTATCAAAAGAAGTTCTCTTGTCTAAAGAAGTTTGACAGTGGGAGATCGCTAAAATTTTAGAGGGCCTTTGTTGGGTTTCACTAATATTCTTCTTTCCTGGTCTCACTGATACCTGCCAGTCCCAGCACAACTCTTTGCCCTTCCAGCTTTTCGGCCTCACGTTGCTAGCGTTGAACTGGGCTACTGGAGGTTGAAAAGAGGACAGGGGAGGTACAGGCTGGCATGACCCCTGCCTCACAAGCTGAGTGGAGGGGCAAGCAGCACACAGCACAGGCTGTAGAGGGTCTTGTGCAGCTGTTTCCGAGACTGGCATAAGAGATGCGTAGTAATGTCATGTGGGCCCTTGTAGATTAAGATGTTTCTACCATGTTGGTATGTTGCTTAATACTGGGCATGACAGACCTTTAAGATGAAACCAAGACAATGGAATAAATGCTGATGGGAGAGTGGCTCATCATATTTTCCTCTAAGGCAAGGTGTGGTTCTTTGGCTTTGCTCTAACCAATCGTTCTGTGTGTTTGCCTGTACTTGCAGTCAGGTATACTTTGCCTATAAAGAAAGTTCTAGAATGAGACACTCTTGCACATGCTGCTTTTGCTTATATTTGAAAGGCATTTGTCATATTGCTCGGTGCTTCACTGAGAGTTTCCTGCAGTATCCCTGAGCAATAGCTGGGACTAGAGGAAACCACCAACTGATAGTGAGGGGAATGAAAGGGGAAGTTCTCTAACTGGAAAAAACCTATAGGGGTACTATTTCTGTTTCTTGTTTTACTGCCACTGCCTTTCATGTCTTGTTAACATGGCACCAAGTACCTAAGCAGTGAAAATAAAATGAAATAGAATTATGTCTTTTAGCATAATGTGAAATGTGTAGTAAGTTGCCCAAAGAGAAATTGAACACTCTACACAATTTATGTATAGAGCATATTTCTGTGCATTTACCTCTCTCCACATTTGTATTAAACCCCAAATTTTATAGTTGGAAATCCTGCTCAAAATATTATATTCTGAATTTGAGCATTAGTCAAAGATTGTAGTTAAAGGCAAAATTTAGGCCACTGAGCCTTATACAATGGAAGGGATTCCCTCCAAGAGTAGCATGGGATTTCTGAGTTGTCCATCACCTGTCATGGTCTCTAAGCAGTGGTATAGTAGTTAACTGAGGAACTTTCCCTAGGTTGGGGAGAGGAAGCAGAGAAGTCTTGCATTCTTGTGAAGACAACTTGCATTCTGCTTGCTATGCTATATGATGGGCGTTTCCTTTTTGGAGTGCTCAGGAGCAAAGAGAGAAGAAACTGAACTTTTTCTTCAAAGAGAAGACTTGGACAATGCTGGAAAATGCATAAATGAGTTATTGACAGTAAGATGTCAGAGGCTGTTGCTAATGGCTGAAGAACACTGTGGTGGCACACTCCATTTGATATCTTTTGATATCCTTACTGTTCTCATCCATAATGTGCTTTGTTTCTTGTTTGGTTGGTTTTTTGTGGGCTTTTTTGCAGGACTGCTTTCTTAAGCAAAAGACTGGTCCTCTTATTGCTTTATCAAGAAAGTAGAATTACCACATCCTATGTGTTTTAATCAAACGTATTTTTTTTTAAATACTTTAGGATTATAAGCTGCTATTCAGGAGAAGCAATTGTTTACCTTGCAGGCTCACTTGTATAGATTCCAGGTATTTTGTTTGCTTAAAGGGAGGGAATTGTCTCGTGCAAAAGGCAAGTGTACAGCTATTCTGTAAATTTTTTACCAGCCCTTCTTCAAAATCTCTTCAGGAGAGTCTAGAGGTACGTTCAAGAATAGGTGCTTCAATAATAGAGTGAGGTTTGGATGCATTAGCAATAACTTGTTCGTTGTTCCTTCTGCCCCATTTGAGAGTGAGTTCTCTAGTGATATAGAGGAGGAAACATAGTAACATTTGGGAATGTAAGGAGAAGCAACATAGGATGTAGATATCAGTGCCTAAGGAGTATTTTCTTCCAAAACTCCAAACTGGAGAAAACTTCCCAGAGAAGTAGAGGAGGGCAGGTTCATTGTAGAGAATTAGGAAATAAAGTGAGATCAAATTTCCTTTGAGAGTTCTGCCTTACCCTTTCTTTCTCTGTGATATGTCTTCCTTCATTGGAAGCATCCTAACCATTGGCAGAACACATGCAATTCAAAACTGTTAGTAATATCAACTGCTGATGTAGTCTAATTAAAAAAAAAAGTTCAT